TTATTCTGGTTGTTCTGGTGAGGACTTTTTTTTTTTTTTTTTTTTAAGATGAGATTAATATTTAAATCGGTGGACTGTGAGTAAAGCAGATTGCCCTCCATGAGGAGGTGGGATTCATTCAATGGCTTTATGTTGGGTTTCCTAAGCCACTGGTCAGCATTCACATTCTCGTGACATCCCCCACTCCCCACACCTTACTATTTCGGTTTCTCTTGAGTACCCTTCCTTACTAGTACATGTGGATTCTCTTCGGTTTCTTCAGTCAGCTTAGCTCATACACTCGTTAGAAAAAGAGACCCATTTAACAGAAAAAAAAAAAAAAAAAAAAAAGCACTGGCTCCAAGAGAACCCATATCTAATTAAAAATAATTGACTGGAGCTTGCGGGAGCCTTCTAGACAACCACACAGAAATGCTCCTGGGTGGGTCTCTGCCTGTTACAGCCTCATGCCTCTTCCCCAGCCCTATCTTAAATTCCTTACAGCTCCTAGGACCTGCTGTGTTCCTCTGCCGAGACGTCTCTACAGCCTGTCTGTCAGTCCCTCGGACAGTTTACTCCTCTGACCAGGCTTTGGGGAGTCTCAGCCCAGGTCGGCTTCTACTATCCTTTGGTTCTTGCTCTTCAAAGTTATGCTTGCTTGATCTAGACTGCAGAACTCTCTCGTGATGGAGTCTTCACTTAAAACCGCCATGCTTGGCCCTGGCAAGGGCTGCACAAACGTAAACAGAACCAACGAAAAGAGGAAAGCACAAGTTTGAATGAATGGATGGTTTCGCGGGCTTGCCGCAAGCAGCAGGAGGCGCTGCCCAGGAGTGTGCACGCTTCGCCTCTCCGCAGCCCGCGTTCTGCTCGCCGCCCCCAAGGTACGAGGCTAGGGCCACAGGGAGGCTCAGCGACCCCGGTTCGATCGCGGCGCCGTCCCGACCTCGAGAAGGGGCAGGCGAGGAGGGGGAGGGGCGTGCCATCTCCTTTCAGTCTTCCACGCTGGGGTCTCCGGAATGAAAACTGGCCCCAGCAGGGCTGAGCGAAGGGATGAAAGGCGGCCCTAGGACCACTAGTCGAGCCTCGTCCCGCCCAGATTTGGGAAACTGGCCTAGTCGGGGGTGTCCCGCCACCCGGCCGCCCAGATGCGGGAGATAGGGGGCAGCGTCGCCCCTCCTGCTGCCCTTCCCGCAGGGCGCACACCCGGGCTGGCACTGTCCCATCCCAGGGTGAGGCCCTCCCCGCCTCTGGGACCAGAATCTCGAATCCCTTCTAGCATCTTCCCCTCTCTCCACTGGGCCTTTGGTATGCCCCAGGGGACAGATGTCTTGGGATCTTTAACATTTGGGATGCTGCAAATGCCGAAGTTAAATGAAATACCTCCGGGGAGGGGAGGCCCGGGGGAGCCTTGGGGAAAGGGAAGATGGGCGGGACCAACAGGTCCTGAAGCTGCGCGGCGGGCGCGGGGGGCGTGGGGACAGGCTCGGGGCGCCAGAGCTCCGTGGGACAGGTAAGGCGGAAACTTAGTGAACCTGGCTCGGGGAACGGGGGTGGGTGGGTGGGTATCGAGCCCCTGAACAGCTGTCTTCATCTTCAGCAAAGGGGGCTTTGCAGGGAAAGGGGGTAATTTTACCAAAAGGTCGAGAATTCCCGAATTTCTACCCCAAAGCCGTTTCCAACGGCTCAACCTTTCTCCTCCGACCCTCTCTCCCCAGGCCGGTGGATCTCCTGGCCAGGTTCCGGGAAGCTAGAAAGCAGGCGAACAAAAGGAGCTGGAGTCCCAGGCCGGCCTGGAAGGAGAGGGCGCGGTGGGGGAGGGGCTGGGGGGGGCAGGACAAAGGGTCTTTTTACGGAGAGCCTTGGAGGTTTCTTTGAAGGGTGCATCCCTGGCTAGCCCGAGTTCTCCACCCTGGCTCAGTGGAGGTGAACACCTTTGCCAGCGGCCAGAGAGAAGAGTGGAGGAAGAAAACATAACGGGGGCTGCTCCTCCACCTCTCCTGGCCGGAGAGCCCCCGACTGATTTCCCAGCCTTCTCTTCCCGGCTGTGAGCTCCCGCGGCTGGCCATTGATTTGTTGATTCATTAAGTAAAGTTGTGGGAATGCTGGTAGCTGTACTTTGCTAGGTGCTGTTGGGGATGTGGAGATGGTAAGGTTAAGGGACTTAAAAAACTTTTGACTCCTAGAGTATCCCAGAAACCTAAAAGAAGGAACGTCGAGGCAGAGGGGAGTGCGTGGGGACGCTGAGTGTGGCTGGCTACAGGTCTGTAGAAGAGTTTGGACATGAAGAGATGGTTTTCGCTGGAAGGGCTGTCTTCCACCTCGACAGGGTTTCAGTGCTATGCAAGGGAACCACTTCCTCAACCTGTGTCTGGTCTTCCTGGTTGCCAGTGCTCTGGGACTTAGGATCAAGGAAAGCCAGCTTCCGGTTTTCCAAGTTGCAAGCTCCCCCCAGAGTGTCCGCCTCTCCCTTGGTGTTGTCCCTCACCAATCCCGTGCTTGGCAGGAGGACTGCTGGTTTGTCAGCCTCGTTCCAAACCTTAGAGTCTGTTGGGTTGGGGAATGCTGAGTATTCTTGGAGTATTAAAAGTTAAGGGTCAGTGCAAACAGGTTGGTCTCTAAGTCCGTTTGTTAGTGCGCAAGGGGCCTGCTACTCACCTTCAACAGAAGCCTGTACCAACACTGGGTTTCTGAGGAAAAAAAAAAAGTCCATTGCACAGCTGACCTGCAAGGAAGCCAGGAGCAATAAATGAAGATCTTCCTCCCTGATCAGTGCGATGTGGGACTGAGGAAGTTGCTGGTTGGTGGCCAGGCTTGCCTCTTTGCAGGTTGCATATTTCTTTGGGTGTGTGTGTGTGGGGGGGTATTATGTTCTGCTCCAGGGGGTTCGAGTTTGTGATATCCACTGACCTGGCTTCTGCTCAAGCCCATTCTTGAAAAGCTGGTTTCAAGCAGTAAGAATCATTAGTGAAGGCCTGGAGGCTTTTCTTGGAAGACAGTTTAAGAAATTTATGTGCCGGAGTGAACAGGCCTTAACCCGATTTCACTTTTTGTCCCTGAATTCAGATGGGGTTACCTGAGGCCAGGGTTCTTAATTGGGTCCAAAACTTACACTTCAGGCTGCAGCAGCAGCAATACCCGTGACTTTCCCTCGAGGTTGGGTATCTGTAAATAGTTTCATTCATCGGTTGTTTGAGGTGACCCATTGCTAGGTCCTGTTTGATGTTAGTTAACGAAGTGTACGTGTTATGTTTTTGTGGTTTCAGAACTGCATTTCGGCATAAAAAACTGAGCTGTGCGCTGATTCTAGGAACCGCCACAGCCCCCGTTTGGAGCTGGGGGGATGGGCCAAGCCAGCTCAAGCCCAGAGTCAGCCCCTCGCAGACACGGGAAGAGTGTATAAACCTGTTGGGGGATGGGAAGGGAACCGAAGTATTGTGCAGGACTGGGAGGGGGGATGGGAAGGGCTGTGCGTTCTTCGGGAGGTTCAGAGAGCATGCTCCCCACAGTGGGAAGGGACTGTCCCCTGTGAGGGCCCCTCGGCCTCTGCTTGGAGGAGGTGGTCAGCCTGTAGGACTCTGGGGCTAGCTAGCATTGTTTGGAAAGAGGGTGTGTACAGGAATGTGAAGGTATGGGAGGGGGGGTTGTGTGTAGAAGGAATGGGGTTGTTGGTGAAGGGTGGTGGCGGGCTGTGACATAACCGCACAGCAGATTCTTAGCAGCCTGCGAGGGCATGGAGAGTGAGGACCGCTCCATAGGGGCTGGGAGAAGGGAGCAAATTGGGTGTAGACTGAGTGCCGAGACTTGGGTCGCAGAAGTGGAGGATGGAAGACGATGGGACAAAGACTTAAGAGATATAGGCCAGTCTGCTAAAAATTTCTAGCCTCTAGGGACAGGCAGCAAGCAGCCTCAGCTCTGCTCACCACTCCAAAGCAATGAATTCTGCAAACTTGTTCTCTTGAGGGGCCCGGAGGCTGACTTTTCAGGGACCAATTTTCCATTTTAGTGACTGATCTCTTGCGTTTGGAGAGTGGGCTAAGGATTGGAGGTTACTGTGGCCCTTGTATGGAATAAGGGATGGCTAGGCTGTTTGGGTCAGTGCCCTGTGGACAGCATTGCTGGGTGTGGATGTATGTTACAAGTGGGATATGACGCTCTTGATGTTGCTGGGATAGAAGAAAACAGCCTGGTCCTCCATCTCTAGCACCCTGGAGGGTCTGCAAAAGCAATTCTGGCCTGTTTTTGTTGTCCATTTGGTTTTCTTTCGTTTTGAGGTCCTGGGTTTTAGAACCAAAGACCTCTGGGCTTGTAATCTACTAATGAGTTATGGACGTTCACAGCTGTTTTTTCCTTCTGTTTTTGTTGTCTGTTTGTTTAGATAGTATCTTGCACTGTTCCCCAGGCTGGTCCTCAGTCTGTGAGCTCATGTGATCCTCCCTCACAAGTAGTTGGGACTGCAAGTTGCTACAGGTGCCTGCCACAACCCCCAACTCAGTCTTGAGGTTTTAAAATCCTAATTTGGGAAAGACTGAGACTGTGGTCCTCGTCCCTTTGTGTAAGGAGAGCAGTGACGTTGTGAGTCTGTAGGTTTCCCAATGATGCTCCCTGCGGACAGTGAGTTTTTTACTCTATTTGGGGGGGGGGTTGTTTAACATTCCTCAATTTCTAGAAAAAGAAATGGGGTACAAGGGAGGCAAGTCTTAAAAGCCAGACAGGACAGGAGCGCACTGAAGTATTCCATAGCTCAGCACACTATATTAGGGTTCTTTGTGGCTATGGAAACTTGACTCTGCTGCTTTCTAGTTCTCTTTCATGGGGAACCCCTTTTCCCTGCTCCCCATCGGCCCGGAAGTGCAGAGGCCTAGGAGCTGCCTACCGGCAACTGCCAGCAGCCGGATTAGTTCAGGGAAGGAGTTGCTCACCTGCTCCTCCCCTCTGACTCAAGTCATAACAAGTAACCTGGTTCCCCTGGCCCGGCAGCCTGGGAGGGACAACAGGCAGGCGGGACCTGATGAGAGGGAGAGCCAGGGGCCGGCCAGCAGCGTGTGGAGAGCTTGCTCAGAGAAAGAGTACCAGGTGGCCAGCTTGTGACCCGGGAGACCCCAAGGTGGCATGAAAGGTGCCTCAAAACCCTGATCTGGGAGCCAGAGTCTTCCCTGGTCAGGCGTGAACTCTGGAGCAGGTGAGAGTAGGGTGGGTGAGGCTGGTCTTTGGGGTTGAGCAGCAGGCAGACCAGGAAATGGAAGGAGTCCCAGCCAGACGGAGCTATCATGCTCCTTCCCCTAAGGTCATGTCCGGGCTCAGTGGTAACAGGGACTGCTACTGGGTTTGTGGAAACAGGGCTGTCTCTGTGAGCCGGTGAAAGTTTCCAACAGAGATGAGCTGGGATACAGGACCTGGCTTTGGGGGCACGCTAGTGATGGGGAGGGTTCCCAAAGGCTTCCCTGAGGAAAAGCATGCTGGCAGTTCCCTTCCTTCTAAGCCTTTCTTTCTCCCGCTGGCTTTGTCTAGGGATAGCTTTGGGTAGATGGGTTGCATCTGGGCTGGCTCAGAGGGCCAGTGGGACAGAGACTCCTGAGTTGAGGGGGAGTGGGTATGCTCTCTGAACTACCCTTAACTGACCTTCCACACCTAAGCTCGAGCTCTCCTGGGTGGGGCCTGGGCAGCCCCTGTGGACTCTGGGGAAAGTTCCCCATTTTGGAGAGCTATGCACTATGTCTGTATAGGTATCATTCTCAGCCTGGTGTTGCCCAGAAGGTCCTAAGTCAGATATAGGGTCTGGGGATGGCCTTAGGCCTATCTGATGTTTCTTGTTCTTGTGAGGAAAAGTGGGGCTTAGGAAGCCGGAGAGCTTTCTTGACTGTCTCAGGAAGGTGCACAACTGAGCGTGGAATCCGGGCCTCTGAGCCTGTGCTCTTTGCCCTCCTTGGAGCAGCAAGTGAGCACCTATGACCCTGCATCATAGGTTTTGTCCCACCAGAGCCTAGAGGAGAGGGAAGTTAGAGAAGGCATGTTAAGGCACCCCTTAGTCTCAGAAGGAGTGCCCCTCTTGTCTGCAACAGTCTGAGCGCCCCCCCCCCCCCCCCCCGCCCCAGGCAGGACCCTAGTTGTTTCAGTCTTTCAAGACAACTTCTTAGTGGTTAATAATTAATTAACAAGTGTGACTAATTGATGGCTTCCACTCCCACCTGCCTCCTCCCTCTGTCCAAATCGAAAGGCTCCAGGTGCCAGCTGCCAGCCCTGCTAGATAGTCTTGGTCCTGCTTCTTAGCTTATTTAAGAGGCTCTTGTCCTCTTCTGGGGAGGGTGAGAGGAAGGCCCAGCTGCCTGCTTCTCTGGGCTACAAAGAGCAAGGATTTTAGGTAAATGGACACTGTATACTAACCAGCACCCTGGCTTTCTGCAAGTTCCAGGGGTTGCAGGACCAGTCTTCAGTGTGTTTGTAAAGCCACCGCATCAACTTTTATTTCTTTTGTTCTCGACTTCATTCTCTAGACTTGCTTGGAAAATTCAAAGTCCAGACTTATAAAGTACACGTCAGTTTTCATGGTTTTAACCCTTTGCTTGCCCATTGATAAGCTGCGCTGTTTACCGAGTCACTAAAGCTCTTCGGGCTCAGTTGGCAGACGTGGGGGAGCTTAGCTGACAGTTGTACCCCCTCCTCTCTGCCATTCGGCTCTGGTGTCTGTCACGCAGGGACGAAGCCCCCCTTCCCCCTGCCCTGCAGCCCTTGTGCTCTGTGGAGGCAGCAGGATGAGCCCCAGACAGAAACTCTGAAGGACTTTTGGACTCTTGCTCAATGGGCTGACTCAGTGAGGAGGTGGCTGGCCTCCCCTTCCAGACCTCCGCCTGCGTTCCACCCTCCCTTCCCCGCCCCTGCTGTAACCACCAGCTGCCAGCCTGGCCAGCTGGGATCCCACTGAGGGGGTAGGTTTGAGAAAGAGATGGGCTGGTCACAGGGGTTGTTTTGGTGCGTGGTTTGCTGGTTGTACCTGAACCACCATAGGGAAGCAGAGAAGCTGGTATTTCCCTTTCTGTTCTTGATAGCTTCCGGTCTGCCGTTGTGTCCATCCTAACGGTGGGGTGTAGGGGTTGCATGTTAACTCCCCCTAAGTCTCCTGGGTATAACTGGTGATTTGGGATTCAGTACAGCTCTCTCATTTCCCTGCCAACAGGTGAATGACCAGGTCAGATAGCATGGTGCACTGGTCCTTGGGCCCCAGACTAGCCTTGGCTTTGTGCTCACTGCCAGCCATTTTCTTGCAGTGCCATCAACCAGTGGACCAGTAGTCCATACCTCATGAAGACAGCTTGTCATCTCCTTGCTCTGCCATCCTGTCCCACCTTCCTGTCTCCTCCTTTTCTTCTTATCTCTCTCTCTTGTTTTTGTACAGTCACTAGTGCAGTAAACCCCTTTGGACCCATAGGACTTTCTAGGGAGGAGACCTAATGGGGGGAGCTAGGCTGCACCCTCAGAATGCCCCCTACCCCAGAGAGCCCGCTGAGAGCCCCTCACCCCAGATCACAGAAACACAGTCCTTACTTCCATTCCCCCCATCCTTGAGCATTGAGCCACAGGAGGCTTCATAGTGTTTTTGTTGTTGTTATCTTCTCTTAAAAGCTGGGAAAACTCCAGGCTACCTACACATTCTGGCCCAGGCTGGGACCAGCGCAGCCCCTCCTTCCTCAGTGTCCCCTCCTCCCAGAAACTCATCATGGAGAGTAAGGATGAGGTCAGTGACACCGACAGCGGCATCATCCTGCAGTCTGGTGAGTGGGTCTAGGAAATTCCCCTGCTCTGGTCCCTGACTCCAGAGTGAGTCTGTAGGCACTGAGCTAGTTAGGCTAAAACTCCCAAAGGGCTGAGAAAGGAAGGAAGCTGAGGAAGGCTCTTGCTGAATAAGTGAGGGACTGGAAGGTCTGGCACCTCAAGGAATTGCAGTTTTCCTTGCTGGAAGGCACTAGCCAGGAGTTTCCGTCTTATCTGGGGCAGGGATCTGCCATGTCCAACTTCAGCCCCAGCGCTTACTAAGAAGCTGAAAGCTCTTATCTAGCTAGTGTTGATGTTCTGTCTCTCTACTAAGCCTGAGCCTGTGGGTCTGGTCTGGCCTGGTTTTGGTTGACAGGGGAGGAGGAAGAGGAGCAGAAAGAGACAAAGTTCTGGCCATGAGTCCCTCCCCCCACAGATCACCTGGGGGGACAGCTCTTCCTTTGAACTATAATGCTACCAACCTTTGGGCAGCCAGGAGACATGATGTTTTGTGGTTGTGACACAAACCGAGGCAGTTAGCCTGTAATTTGTGGGCAAACATAAGACTGTGTGGGTGTGTGCTCTCCCAGAGGTGGTCAGCAGCGTCCTAGGGATGCCTTGCTTCAGAGTTCCTGAGCAAGTGTCCGCTGTGCTCCTGCAGGCCCAGACAGCCCTGTCTCTCCAGTGAAAGAGCTGACCAACGCAGTGCGCAAGCAACAAAGGGCCCTGGAATCGAGACTGGAGGCCTGCTTGGAGGAGCTTCGAAGACTCTGCTTGAGGGAGGCGGTGAGGCCCCTGGAGTCCCTGCCCCCACACGCTTAGGGTTGATTTGAAGAGCCCTGGAACTATGTTTTGGGATATTGAGCCCCATCTTTGAAGGGATTGGAAATTAGACTGAGGTCTTGGCCTAGAGTCTGTCTCCTGTGGGTTTGACCTGGACCCTGGGTAGAGGGGTCCAGGATAGGAAGGGAAGATAGCTGCAGAGGAGCCAGAGAGATGGAAGCACATTTGATAATTGTACCTTGGGTCAGGGTGGCCCTCTGTAGGAAGTGACCAGAGGGAAGAAGGCAGAGAAGGCAGAAGGATGGGAATAAAAAGACAACTGTGGCATGATAGGATGAGGTGGGCAGGGTTACAAATGGCCTAGCCATTTCAAAGGCCTCTGGAATGTCAGGCTCCTAAAATGTGGAGATAGATGCTAAGTTTTAAATGGTTGGTCAAGGGCTGGGCATGTGGAGAGGGGCCTGACTTGATCGACTCTGCTCCCCTCTAGGAGCTGACTGGTACTTTGCCAGCAGAGTATCCCCTTAAGCCAGGTGAGAAGGCCCCCAAGGTCCGGCGCAGGATTGGAGCAGCGTACAAGCTGGATGAGTGGGCCCTACACAAAGAGGTAAGGGACTCCAGCCACGGTGGTCGCTTAGCCTGATCCCCAGAGGCTCACTGCTGAAGCAGTCCAGTGCTCTGGCAATGTGTTATCCAGTGTGGGTGCTGGCTGCTCACAAGTAGTCCAGATGGCTCTGAGTAAACATGCCACCTCTGCAGCTGGAGAGCTGGGGGCTCAAGAGAAGACACTAGGCTTGGGCCCAGTGGATTGGGCAGAGGATTCTGAATACCAATAACCAACCTAAAGAGGCAGTTCTCTGTTCAGGGAGGTTGGTGTGGCGAGGCCTGCCCTTTCTCCTCCTAGGTGAGGGCGGCTCTGGCCGTAGTTGACCTTCCCTTTGGAGAGATTCCCATGGGTTGACAAATTTGGTCCTTTGGGGTCAGGAAGAAAAGTGTCCCACTTAAGTCCTCTCCCAGCCCAGCACAGCAGGTAGCTGGAGTGGTACACTCAAGTCAACTTTTCGCAATTGACAAGTTGGCTCTGGGCCCTCCCAACGCCCCACCCTTAGCTGTGTGTCCCTGGACGTTGCTGTCTGTCCACCACCGGGTCAGAGCTACTTGGAGTTTTCTGTCTCCCGAGCGCCAAGGACCCTCCTGGCCCTCACTGCCAACCCTTCCCTCAGGACCCCCTGAGCAGCCTGGAGCGCCAGTTGGCTTTGCAGCTTCAGATCACCGAGGCGGCTCGCAGGCTGTGTGCAGAGGAGAACCTCAGCCGACAGGCGCGCAGACAGCGGAAGCACGCGGCGCTGCAGGAGGAGAAGAAGCTGCGGGAGCTTCAGCGCCGCCTGGGCGATCGGCGGCGGAACAGTGAGCCCCCTCCCACCACCGTGTCCTCCCTGGGCAGAGGTGAGCCCACTGTCCTGAGCCATTTGGCCTCACACAGCTCTTGTGGGACTGCCGGCGCAGCCCTGCACTCTATTTTGCATCATGCTTTTGGCTAGTACCTGTGTTAATGTCTCACGGTGGTGCCACTGGCGCGCTCCTTCCTAGGAGTGCCCACACAGACTCTTTTTTTTTAACCCGTCTACCTTACCAAGGTGTCTCCACCCTGAGAGACCTTCTCCATCCCATTTCTTCCTTCCTTCTGCATCTCCCATGTTGAACACCACTTCCATAAGACTTTATAAACAGAAGGCATTTCTCTGTTCGATCATAATCCTAGGGTTTATTCAAACTCGAATATTATCTTTAGAGAAAATGCAGCAAGCTAAAGGCTCAGCGTTCCTGTACGGTTCTCTAGCTCAATTTGGGAATCTCTAAGGATTGGTTGTTGCTATGGGTAGCCAGTTACTGATGGTTTCAATGGCCCCTACTCATGGGTGTTTAGACTGAAATCAGTTGTACCCCTATAGTTTCATCGGTGTCTGCAGCTGGCATGGTCAAGGTTGCTGAATCGTTCTTGTAGCTTAGTGTCTGAGCCCAGACCCAGAGATGAGGCTGTGAGGTACCTCAGAACCAGAGCCAGCCAAAAATGACTGCAGTGTGTCCAGTCTGGTGAGCGTCCAGTGAGTGCTTTTGAGACCCGAGCTGGGACTGTTTTCCTTTGCTCTGACCCAAATCCTGCTTGTCAGGTCAGGACTTGTAGCCTCCACTCTTCCACTCCCTGCTCCCAGGAATCTCTGGCCCTGGCCCTGGCTCTGGCTGTGCCTGAAGGAAACGGTGCAAGGGACCAGCTGCTGTTCATCGTGGCCTTCAGCCAGAGCCTCAGACTCAGCCTAGGGAGCAACAGCCTCCCCCATGCCTGTCCATCCATTCCCACACACCGGCTGTTCTCTTCTCTGGCTGGACACAGAGTAGAAGTGTGAGGTCCCCATGCTTCATGCCTCAAGCAGGCATCGCTTTCAGCACCCGTGAGAAGTGTGTGAGCAGATGCCAGCCAGGTCACCCTTGGAAGCCTGGAGTAGATGGCAAAAAATAACATGTTCTTGTATATCATGGCTGAACAGGAGACCCAGAAAAGCATTAGACTGACCTGGAGCCTGGTGGCCAGGCTTCCAGTGCCTCTGGCCCCAATGTAGGACACCACTCTCACAGGCCCTGGGTATGGTAAGGCAACTATTGGCCAAGGCATAGTGCTCCCCAAGGGCCACCTCTGTACTTGAAGGATCCATTAGTGGTGAGATGTGTCCTGTCCCAGTTGGTCTCCTCCCTTCTGGTCCCTCCAGCATGTATTGTTCAGAGGCTCCTCTGCCCATAGGTGTTGCCATTGCCAGGAGCTTCTGCTCAGAGTGGGGCTTTAGGGGGAATGTCACTACTGCTGCCGTTGCGACTGATGACACTCCTTGTTGGAAGCCAGGAAGCAGGCCAGGACATGCCTAGGGCTCTGGCTTAACCCTGTGTAGGAGGGAAGGCTGATATTCTCAGGGCCAAGAGAAAACAGAGTGCAGAGCTGGCACAGCCAGTGACTTGTGTGGCTCCAGCACACACCCTGTCCTCCAGACGGGCCTGAGGTTCTGGGTTCTAGTGTCCCAATTTGGGAGATTAAAGGGAGTTGGTTCTGGAGTAGTTGGTCCTGTTTATGGCTCCTCTGTCAGTTGTACTCACCTGGAAAGGAGGAAGTAGAGAGAGAGATTAATAATTAGTTTGAGGCTAGAGGGTGTTTTGAATTAAGAAGGAAAAATAAGCAAACAAACCAAAAAAAAAAAAAGAAAGAAAGAAATCAAAATGAAACCCCACCCACCACTTTTGCACACAAGGTTATTCAATTTGAGAAAGTAATTAGCCAGGGGAGGATAATTAGTTAGTTCTCTGCAGGTGGCAAGGAGTCGTCAGGTGTTGAGCCCAAGAACCATCCTTTGTATTCCTCTCATGCAGTGGTGCTCAGTCTGTGTTTGTCGATTGGCAATGGCAGTCTCAAGCAACAAGGGACTCAGTGGTGATGAAAATGTTGTGCTGTCCGTGGTAACTATTAGCAGGGTGTAGCTACTGAACATTGGACACTATGCCCCTGTGACCGAGGAACTGGGTTTTTAACTTGAGTTAGAGTAGCCTCATATTGCATGGCATGCTTTGCTGGGCAGGGTAGCTTTGTAAGTATGTCTTTATAGTTACATCTCTGCCTGGGGTGTCCTGCCATGGCTGTCAAGGGAGAGTCATGGTAGACAGAGCAGGACAAGGGTGACCCGGGACTGATGGGACAGGGCTGAGAGTTGAGCATTTCAGCCAGCTTGTCCCCCGAGCTTCCACCACTGCGAAGCCGACATTTCTCCAGACTTCCCTCCTAGCAGTGCACCTTTTGGCCCACCGAACTGATGGTCTTGCTTAGGTTACTAGTAGAGGTGATGGGTAGTGATGGCTTTCTTCACGGGCCTTTACATTCTCTTTGAACCCACATTACACTAGTGGACTGTGAGATCATTTCTTGGATCATTTCTTCAACTTGACATTTGCAAAAAAAAAAAAAGCTTTATTCCTAAAAGTTTTGTAAAAGACACCAGAGAACCAGAATTCAATTAGAGGGTTTCTCTTCCACTGAACCCCAAAGCAAAGGTTACCTGTTAGCTACTCAGAGTCTTGGCTGGGTACTGGGGCTGCTCAGCTGCAGAGGATGAGAACTGCCACGACAATTTTCTCCATAAAGATCTGGATAGCAAATCGTTTTAGACTTTGTGGCTCATAGGGTGTCTTACCCAACTAACACAAATCTGTAGCTGCGTCTCTATACAGCTTCACCAGTGAAATTAGTTCTGGTCTGTGGACAAAGTTTCCCAGCTCCCCCAACCCCCTCTCTCTTTTGATTTTTTTTTTTCAAGACAGGGTTTCTCTGTGTAAGCCTGGCTATCCTGGAACTTGCTCTGTAGATCAGGCTGTCTCTGTCTCCTGAGTGCTGGGATTAAAAGTGTGACCGCTAAGGCTGGGCTGTGCCAGCCATAGCAGATTGCAGGATGGTTGCTATTGTTTGCTATTAGAACTTTCTGGTGGTGACCTGTGCTGGCTGTCAGGAGAACTAATCAGGGGCCACGGCTTAGAGCAACAGGCCCTGTCTTCATCAGCAGCCTTCTGATGGATGGACCCAAATCTCCTTGCTAGGTGGGCTAAGACTGAGTTTCCTCAGTTACATGGATTTGTATCTATCTTAGCTTATGGGGATTACATGAATTAGTGTATGAAACATATTTAGGAATTTATTTAGGAAGGTATTGGCACAGTAGAAATGTTAGCCATTATTGTTTTCTCATCTTAATTTTCAAACAGTTAAATGCTTTCTGGGTTCCATCTGGGTCACACAGACTTAGCCTCACCCTCCAAAGCAGTACATCTGTTCAGTGGCAAAAGCAAAAATAAGGTCCCCCCCAATTTCCTGAGTGGCAGCTGCAGTTGTTTCACGAGGAACTGCCATGCTTCGTTTCCCTCAGGCACCTCACAGAGCCCTAAGACATGACTCTTCTTAGGGTCAGCTGGCCAGACCCTGACATAAGTTGGCCTCATGTTCCCCACAGCCCAGACCCCTGCCTCCAGTGTTCTTGTGGATACTACAGTAATTTTTCTATTTGAGCCCGTGGGGCTGAGCTGCCTTTGTGATGTTTGAAGACACACTGGCAAAATGCTTTTCATCCTATGTTCCTTCTGAAATGGCTTTTGGCCTTCCCCTTTTATAACCTGTGAGCCCTGCTTTTGTTGGCAGATGAAGAGACCTTGGTCTAGGGCATTGAAATCGCTTATTCAAGGTCCTGTGGTTAAACTTAGAGGCAACTCCTTTCTCCCACCCCATAATTTGTGAACCTTTTTTGCTACCACCAAGGAATAAGTTCCTGAATCATTATTCAGCACTTAGGGGATAGTTCCTTGGGAAATTTAGGTTCTGTCCTCTCCCGGGACGGAACCTGGGCTTGGGTTTGCTTACTGGTGCTTAACGCTGGGCTAATTGTCTCACTTCTCTTTCCTCCCTTGATTGTTCCAGACCTCAGTGTCTCTGATGACAGCTCCCTGTCCGATGGGCTACTCCTGGAGGAAGGTGAGATGGACAGTCTGGGAACACAGTCAAGACTGGGCATTTGCAGAGTTTCCTAGTGAGGACTCCAGTGGACCCGGAGAGTTTAGGGTGCCGATGAAGGCAGGGGTCCCAGCTAAGGGTCTTTCCCAGCTCTGATGTCAGTGTCTGTGTGTCCAGGCACATGCCCTGTTGAGGGTGGGGGATGTGCTGAGCTCCTCTCTCAGTGGAGCCTTTTGATGAGAAAGGGCTGAGCACTAGCCTGGCCTATTAACCCTGGGTGTTTCTCCTTCACTCTGAGGTTGTATTTTGGGTGGAGCTAGTTAGGGCCAGTGAATGGGCTACTTAAAACCATTGCCGTGGTTAAAAAGGTAGTGCTGGGGAGGAAGTACAAGACTGTGGATTAAAGACCTGGTTTAAAAGCCCTGAGAATATCAGGGTCAGAGTGCACTGAGAAGGTGATGCAGGCCTGCCCAGGGTGTGCCCAGGCCAATAAGGAAACAGGGCACTTAGGCGAAGCAGTAAGAAGAAAACTAGGTATTTGCAGATAGGCACTATGAGCAAATGCTAGAAAGTAGAGTGTAGAGAGGAAGAGGAAGCAGGTGTAAAATTAAAACAGGACTGGGAGGGAGGGAGTCCCAAAGAAAAACAAAACAGCTTTTCTTATCTGGGATTGGGGCTATGGCCTGGAGCAGTAGGTCAAAGCATTGAAGAGGGAGAGCAAGGCACAGGCTGTGGAGGTTCTCGCTGAGCCGGTTTCCCCAGCCTCTGCCTTTTCTACCCCTGCAAAAGATTCCCAAGCGCCAAAACCTCCCCCAGAGTACCCAGCGACACCACCTTCACGGCCTCACCCACCCCAGAGCCTCGAGGGCCTGCAGCCAACAGGACCTGAGTCTGGCAGCCTGGAGCGGGCCCCAATCCAAAACAGTCCATGGAAGGAGACCAGCCTGGACCACCCCTATGAGAAGCCTAGGAAGTCTTCTGAGCTCAGTAGCGAGTCCAGGTCAGACTGGGGAGGAAGGGAGAGCCCAGAACAGGTGGAAAGTGATAGTGTGGCTGGGACTGGGGCTATAAAGACATCACTGTCACTGACGTGTCTTCAATCCCTTTGCAGCAGCCCCGCCACCACTCCTCAGGACCAGCCCAGCTCTTCCAGCCTGTGGCTGCCGGATCCTGCCTCCTACCACGTGGTCCCCATCCGAAATGTTCCTGGACAGCGGCAGGGCCGCACCAGTGCCCCAGCCACCCCTGAGATACAGGGCAGGAGGGGCCAGTCTCTGAGGTAAGACGGCTACCCAAGCGGTGCAGGGGGCATCCTGTTCCCATCCCAAGTGGCACAGTACAGCTGAAAGGCCTTGAGTGACATAGCCCCAGTGCCCTGGTTGCTCCTTTTCGTGTCCCTCTCTGGGGCGCCTTTCCAAAGAGGTTGATTCTCAGCAGAGCCAAAAGCATGACGCTCTGCTAAGGAAGCAGAACTTGGCCTGAGGTTTCCAACCTTGCCCTGTTTTCTTGCCCTGATGGATACTGGTTTATTATTGGTCGCTGACAATGTGTAGTTCTCCCTTTCAATTGATGTACAGTTGGTTCTCATTACTTATGATAGTTACATTCTATAACATTACTGTAAACACACAAGCTCCTGCAGCAGTGGTTCTCAGCCTGTGCGTCATGACCCCTTGAGGGAGGAGTTGAATGATCCTTTCACAGGGGTCACATAAGATCATCAAAAACCACAGGTATTTACATTACAATTAATAAGAGTAGCATAATTCCAGTTATGAAGTAGCAGCGAAAATAATTTTATGGTTGGGGGTCACCACAACATGAGGAACTGAGTTCAAGGGTCACAGCTTTAGGAAGGCTGGGAACCACTGTCCCATAGGGAAATAGGTGATGGGGATAGTGTTGCTCATTAACTGATTAGTGTATGTAACCTTGTTGAGCCCGAGTTTCTGTTTAAAGACAGTTTATGTTGAAGGATACCTTATTAATGTATCTGTGGCTTCATTGCCACTGAACCTATGCCCAATGACACTGTAACTCAGAATGAAGTTGGCTTAGCAGTCTTAACCATCTCTGCAAGGCACTTCACAGTGTTCCTGTGCTTAGAAACTGCCGAGAGCACTTCAGCATCGCTTGTGGGGCCATTTTAAATATAAACCAGCCAGGTATGGTAGTGCTTCCCAGCACTCGGGAGACAGAGGCAGGTGGATCTCTGTGCATTCCAGACCAGCCTGGTCTACAGAGCAAGGCCCAGGACAGAATGAGCATCACTGAGAGACCCTGTCTCAAAACAAATAAGCAAGCAAGCAAACAAACAAACAAATAATAAAGTTCCTGCCCCTCCCGTACACTAAGTAATGCCACAGGAAGTGGAAAGGATGGAATAAGATGGCAGCACATGAACTTCTATTTAATTCTATTTCATCGTGGGCACAGCTGGGGCTGAAGCCCAGGGCCTCACGAATGATGGAGAAGCTCTCTGCATGCCCCCAACTATCTTTTGTTGTTTGTTGGTAAGTAAGAGTTCCCTAAGAAGTCTAGCCTGGCCTGGAACTCACCATCCTCCTGCCTCCGCCTCTGCTGGAGTCAGGTGTACTTAAAACACTCCCAAGTCTCTGCTGCATCAAATGACTGTGAACACACATCAGTTACGATTCTCCTTCAGTGCTGGGACAGAATGCCTGATGAAGGCGCCTCAGGAAAGAAGGGTTTATTCTGGCTGCCAGTTTGAGGTGCCGCCCATTCTGGTGTCAGGAGGGTGAGGCAGCTGGTCACAGTGCACCTGCAGCCGGGAAGCAGAGAGATGTGAAGGCTGGTTCCCGCTCTCTGTCCTTTAATTCAGCCCAGGCCTCTGGCCCATGGGAAGATGGTACCCATATTTATGGTGGGTCTTCTCACTTCAACTAACCCAGTGTAGAAACCCCCTCACCGATGCACCCAGAGGTCTGTCTTGGAGGTGAGTCTAGAGTCTGTCAAGCTGACAAGATTAGCCATCGCAAACACGCTGTGTATGATGATTTTGGAATTAGCAGATCAGTTTTAGCAAGTAGGTGGGTTGGCAAATACAAAACCTCTGAAGAATGAAAATGAATTGTATGTTTCTTTCCAAGCCTGGGCTATCTGGTAATTGTTTCAGTCAATGAGGTATGAGAAGTAGCATTAATCATAGCAAGCCGGTACCACCAAAGCCTTATCAGGCAGCACTGAACAGGTCAGAAGGAAAGCAATGTATCTTATACCTTACCTGCTTACTGAGGTCATTTCATAAACAATGCCTTTGCGCAAAAATGTTAAAGGGCAACCCAGCCCCTTGCCCAGAATATAAACTGAGGGGGAGAAGGGGGGAGGAGAGGGGGAAAAGACACTAGATTTTAGCCCTCCCCGATCCTGCTTGGTATGCACCTGCTCTTTGGAACACATGAAAGCTTTTCACATTTAGGTTAGATGCTTGACACTGTCTAACCAAACAGTGTCTGTATGAAATGGTACCGAATATACTGTGTCCTAGCTGGCTGAAAATGTGACATGGATATAGCAGAATGTTGGTTCTTCCTATCAGTGGATTGAATCAACTTCCAAAATACATAAAAAAGAAAAAAATAATTAACATATGAGGCCTGGAGTGGAGGCTCACTGGTTAAGAGCACTGGCTGTTCTTCTGGAAAACCAGGGTTCAGTTCCCAGCACCCTCATGGCAGCTCACTACTGTCTGTCACTCCAGTCTCAGGGAATCCGACACCCTCACACAGACACACGTGCAGGCAAAACACCAATGTACATAAAATAAACATAAATATATATTTTTAAAATCAGCATATGTTTCAAACATGTACAAATTCTTTTTGCAGGGCTGGGGATTGAACCTGGGACTTTGTGCATGTTAAGCAAGTGTTCTTAACTCTGAGCCACATTCCCTGTTCATCAGATTCTTGTCGATTTTTCTAAAAATATCTCTCAGTAGTACAGTAGTTACATAGCACTCACTGTATTAGGAATTACAAGTATTATTTAAAATCTACGGGATGTGTTCTATGTAATATTTACCTGTTTTATGCAAGGGACTAATTTGTGGGTCAGGCATCCGTTTATCTTGATGTGTGGAAAAGGCTGGAAGGAACCGTGTGTGTGTGTGTGTGTGTGTGTGTGTAAATGGAGCAAGAGCAGTACAGCAATGGCTTGATGGGGGGAAATGTGCTACCTCTGCATATTAGGACCAGATTGGGTTGTCTGCTCTGAGGAGGCCTGACCTCAGTAGAACCTAGGACATGTTCTTTGCCTTGGCCTTGGGACTGAACACGGGCCTCCAAGGTCAAGACTCATGACCCCGATGTGGCCCCTCCCCAATTCAGTGCTTTCCTGTTTTCCTCTTCAGGGTGGACTCCTTCCGAGCAGGTGCGGAGGGCCGAGGTCGCAGCGCCTTTCCCCGCCGGCGCCCCACTCATTACACGGTGACCGTGCCAGACTCCTGCTTCGCGCCCAGCAAGCCCCCGCTGCCACACCCTGCCTGCCACTCCTGCTCTGAAGACAGCGGCTCTGATGTCTCCAGCGTCTCCCATCCCACCTCGCCCGGCAGCAGCAGTCCAGACATCTCCTTTCTGCGGCCCCTCTGTCCCCCTGAGCCACCTTGCCACCGTGGGGCCTGGGGCCCAGCCTGTGGCAGAGAGCTGACCACTCACTACCCTAAACTTCTGCTGCCCCCTGGGTACTTCCCAACGGGGCGCTATGTGATGGTGGCCGAGGGCCACCTGCCGCCGGGCGAGTGGGAGCTGTGCCATGCAGCCCTGGGGGCTGCCTATGACGAGGAAGGGGCACCCCTGCGCTACCAGCGGCTGGTGCCCTCCCACAGCCGCATAGTGCGCACGCCCTCCCTGAAGGACAGTCCTGCGGGCCGGGGACTCAGCAAGGCAGCCGTCTCGGAGGAGCTCAAGTGGTGGCATGAGCGGGCACGACTCCGGAGCAGCCGCCCCCACTCGCTCGACCGCCAAGGGGCTTTCCGTGTCAGGAGTCTGCCTCCCGGGAGGGAGAGCTTCGGGCGGGCCTCCGGATCCCGGGCACAGGTACGCCTTCCCCTGAGGAAAGACGGTAGACCAGCAGGCCGCCGCTGCATAATCCCCAATTTGGAAAATTTGGCCAAAAAAAAGGATATGTCCTCTTGGCTTTGGAAGGTACTTTTGACTTCCCTGAGGTGCCTCTTAATTGTGTTTGCAGTGTCTAGTTTCTAATGCAAGAGCACATACCAGTGTCCCCTGGTAGAGATCGTTCGCACAGATAGCTGAGAGATTTCCCCCCAACGGCTTCACAGATGATTCACAGAACAGATAAACTTCCTCATAATCAAATGTGAACCCAAATTAACCCCTGGAATTTCCTGACTTGAGGCATCTGGAAAATGGGTGTGTAGAAAATAGCCCCCTGAGGCTGAGAAGCAGATGGTCCCATAGCAAGAGTACCAGGTTCTAATCCCAGCCCCACTCTAGCTCTATGGCTCCAAGGGTTACTCTTAGGCTTCTGTTTCCCACTCTAAAAGATGGGCATAGTAAATGATCCCTCTCACAGGATGGATAAGAGGCTAAAATGATTTACAGCGATGCGCCAGAGAGCCAGATCAGTGATAGCTGTGTCACCGAGGCTCCCAGCGGCAGGGGCTGGGGGTAGGCTGTATCGGAAGTATGTAGGATTAAGAACACTCTGACTTTGGCTAGGGGGGCAGTCTTGGTTTCTGTAAGCCCCGTTTCTTCATTCTGAGAGTGAGGCTAGCAGGCATGAATCCTTTCTTTATTCTCCCTTCCTGATTCAGAGGGCTATGCAGGGGACACGCTCTAGAAGTTACCAACAGGCTGCTTCTTTGAGACCCCAGATTCCCAGCAGCCCAGCTGCTCACCCTCCCCTCCCCCGGGTTCTTTGAGCTGTTGCAGCTGCCATCCCTGGCTGGGCAGCACCCTGGCCCAGTCCCAGGCTCTCCACCCTCCAGCCGACGTGCCTTTCCCTTCCTGCGAGCTTGGGCCTGTCTTTGGTCTAGGCTTGGCCCATCCCAACCTGCCAGACAGGGACGATGATGAGACATGAGCGCAGGAAAGGTGGGGAAGAAGGTCAGGGTGCCCGTCACACCCCAAAGAACCTAGAGCGGTCAGTGGCTCAGGCGTGGTACCTGGGAACATTATTCCTGGGGAGGGCAGCAGCAGACCAGCAAGGCTTCACTTTTGGTGGTCTGCCTTTAAGTAAAAAGAACGCTGTGACTGAGCCCGCATTCTGACATAACCCCCAGCTTACTCACCTGCCCTCTCCTCTCTCCTTGCCTGTGGCAGGTACCTCCAGTGTGTGTACTCCGGAGGTCACCAGATGGGGCTCCTGTGCAAGTCTTTGTGCCTGAGAATGGAGAGATCATCAGCCAAGTGTAACTCCTCTGAAAGCCTCGGCAACTGCTGGAAAAGACTTTTACATTGGAGCTGGGGTTGAGATCCCCAGCTCCCCACCCTTAAGTGCTTCTCTCGGCTCTACTCCCCTCATCGCAGGCCGATGACTCTGACCTCAAACCTTTGGTTTTTTTTTTTTTTTTAAACATGTGTTTTCCAGAAGCCCTGACCTGAGGATTTATATGTGTGATTTGTCTTCAAGGTTCCTATAGTATGATTATGTTTCATTCCCCCGGAGTCTGGCCTTTTGGATTTAAGGTCTTGCTGGGCTAATCAACATCATTTGTCTCCTTATGCGGGAGAAGTGGCATAGTTAAAGGGCCCCTTGGGATTCTCCCGACGCTCTGTGCCCTCTTTCTGAGGTAGCTGCTAGTTCTTATTGCTGGAGGCAGGATGTGGTAATCTCTCAACAAGGACTCTTCCCTTGTTTTCCAGCTGCTGGGCAGGGCTCTCCTTGTGTGTCCTCCCAGCGGCAGGTGAAAGGTCAGTATGTCCGGCTGCCGCCTTGTCTTCATGCTACATTCCCGACCCCACAGGTCTCTGTTAGTGGCCTGTCTCCCATACTGTTGAGCTCCTGGACCGCTGAACCTGGAGTTGGAGGCTGCACTAGACTGTCCAGCCTGGGACCTGGGCTAGGGAGCTGGTTGGTGGGAAACACCTCACCCACCCTGTGAATTCACCTCTGGGAATTGTGAGGCTGGCTGTCAACTCTGCCCCCTAAAATCTTCATAGTCCAAAAACAGCACCTTGAAATATATATATATATATATATATATATATATATATATATATATATATATATATATGCCACTTCTGTGGCATGTTTGAGGTTTGAGGAAGTTTCTGCCCCTTGTTTTCTGTCGAGCTTCTGCTCTTGTTTGTTCACACCTGGAGCAGTTCATCAATGCCTCCTGACGGATTGTTTGTAGCCAGCGTGAATAAATTGTCCCAGGTCCCGAGACTAGGCAGGCCAGGAAGCTGCCTGTACGCAGACCACTGGCACACACACGTTTTTGAGCCTTAGGCTGCCAGGGCAGATGCCCAGTTAGGCATCTTGCCTAGGAGCAACTGGGAAGGGAGCAGTGTGATTTTACATGGCCTTCACCACCTCAGCACCTCTCCCCAGATTGGCAGAGCACGGACACCTGTATCTCTCCTGCTGGAGAGAAATCAGGGTGGCCTGTTGCGCTAGGGTTGGAGGAGGGGCAGTGTCAGGAGTTTGGGGGGCTAAGGGGACTTGAGGGGATGCACAGGGCATTCCTGTCACTGTTTTCACCACACCCTCCAGTGGTCCCAACCTCTCCATGTTATGTGTGAATTCCCTGCTTGGTTTGTCTGGCTTCTGAGCCCCCTCCCCCGTGTAGAGGTGCCCCCGTCCCAGTGTATTCTCTGGATCCCTAAGTGCCTTAGATCCTACATTGCAGAGCTGGGAGGCTTCTCAGTGCTGGTCTCTCCCCACACTGGAGCATCCTCCACGTTAAGTTATTGCTCTCACCTAACAGCTATTTTCGTGTGTTGCACAGTGGCGGTGCCCTCAGCTGCAGGGCTGAGACTGTGCCAAATACTTCAATAAAGTCTGGTTGGCCCAGCTGAGGATGAAGGAGTCTGTGTGTGTGTGTGTGTGTGTGTGTGTTGAGGTGTTTTTTTTTTTTTTTTTTTTTTTTGTTTTGTTTTGTTTTTGTTTTAAACAAAGGCTGAGCCAAATCTCCTTGACATACCTGCCCAACCTTCCCAACTGGTCTGGCCATGAGTAGGTGGAGTGGCAGAGGGAGACTCAAGCTGCTACTCTGACCAAAGGGCAGCACAGCTCCTTGAGGTCTTGAGGGCCTGAGAGCTTGGAAGTCACTTCCTCAAGAGAGATGAGACTTTGTGACCGCCTCATCTCTGGTTTCAAATGGTCCAGGCCAAGCAGCATTCAGAGGCTATGAGGAACTGTTCCTGTGGCTGGCAAAATAGGCTTGCCTGGGTGAGATGGGGCTGTTCATAAGACCCCCTTCTGTATTTCTGTAAAGAGCCACAGTGCCTCATTCCACCAGGATGTGTGTAGGGGATGGGGTGGGGCAGCTACAGTTTCCGTTGCTGCTCTGTAGCGGGTGCTCAGACCTGGGAGCAGAGTGCCCCTATGGCTACAGCTTCTGGAGAACTTGTGGCCTGAGTCTGAGGTAGCCTGTGTCAGGTAAAGGGGTCTCTGTTTTGCCTGTCCCTCTCCACAGTCAAGGGAGAGGTAGGTCACAAAGGGTCAGGCAGATGGCTGTGCAGGAGTGACTGCAGTCCCATTGGGTACCTAGCCCTGTAGGAATATGGCCTTCAAGACTCTGGCTTTGTTAGGCCTGGGGTTTGTTCCAGGCTGGGGGTTGGGTGGGAAGAGAAGATAGTTCCGGGGCCTCTAGAAAGTTGCGGGCACCCTTCTCTCAGACCTGAGCGGCAAGCTAACTATTAGCTGTGGGCAATAGGAACTTGATTTTGGATTTAACTTATTTTGCGGTGAGTTTGAACTTTAGTTTGCTGTGTTGGGGATGGAACCCAGGGTTTCATACATGTTAGGAAAGCATTTTAACCACTTTTTATCTGTTAGGCCCAAGGAAATATATTTTTAAACTTAAGAAAAAGTGTTTGGATGTTTCGCTTGCATGTGCCCCATACGTGTGCAGTGCCCATGTCATCTACAAGAGGGCGTCAGATTCCCTGGAACTGGAGTTTCTGTGAGCTACAAGGAGGGTGCTGGTAATGGAACCTGGGTTTTTCAGAAGAGCAGCCAGCACTCTTAACAGTTGAGCCATCTCTCCAGCTCCCACCCTCGAGAAAAATCTTGACCCAACATCAGAGGGTTCTGCTCTGATTATCTGTCTAGGAGGCAAGGCAGGTGGGGGAATAGAAGAAGAAGAAGGAATAGCAAAGTTCTTATAAGCAGCCAGCTGTGAAATGTGCCAGTGTAAAGAACTGGTGGGCAGCAGCTCCTATCAGCTCCAGGCCATGGGCTAGTTCTGCTGGGCCATGTCTGCAAGGGGCAGGCATGCGGCAGGCTTAGCTCCCCTACCAGAGGGCAGAAGTGGGAAGATGAATTCCAGGCAATGGGGAAGACACCTCTCTGCTAAGAGCAGCCTTCAGATTTGACCTTAAGACTTCCAAGCCATAGATGGAAACTTCCCTGGGAGCCGGGGAGTCTGAGATTGCCACTGGAGATCTTTGGATGGAAGATGTCTGAATGAGCCATAAGGAATCAGGGTCCTTCGGAGGTTTGTGCACCTTCCCCTGAAACAGGCCGTAAAATGGGAAGCTGACAACAGGGACCCAGCATAGGCACTGTTTAGTCAGTTCTTGTAGTTTTGCTTTTGGGCTCTGCCCTCATGCTGTGGAAAAATTTAGAGCCTTAGCCCATGCTAAACAAATGCTCTGCTATCTCCATCCTCGTCATTTTCAAATGGTCAGGCTGCCTCCTGCAGGTCCCCCTTATACTAACTAAATCTGCATCGCTAAGACCAGACTCTGACCAGGCTTGACTGCTGGTCTCATCACAATTTGTTAGGCCCCCTCCTGGCTGTGCAAATGAGTCTACAGCCTGAGAAGAAAAATCCAAAGAAAGCAACATTTGGGCTGTCACTTCATGATGCCATCTTAAAGCCAAGCTTAACAGGTAAGCAGTTTTCTTTAGGCCTGGGTATCTCTTGTCGTACTGTGGTAGTTTGGAAGTGATGATGGTTGCCTGGCCCTTGCTGGAGATGTCACTCAAAGAACACATGTCTGTCTGCTTCTGGCTACCCCTTCCATAGCTCTCGCCTCTGCAGGCCTGCTCATTTTACAGGCTTGCCTCTCTGAGAGGCCTGGAGCTGAGCTGGGCACTGATATGGCCTGAGATCTTGAAAGCTCACCTAGAAACAGCTAGATGTTCTGGGGAGCCAGATCTTTCCATACCACCTGCAGGACAGCAACCTCCTGACAGCTGAGGTTTGGACCAGCACTGTCTGAATCCAGTTTCTTATACCCCAGTCTTTTTGCATTTAATTTTACTTTATGGTTTGTGTGTGTACACGTGCACAATGTGCTTGCATACTATGATGTATGTGTGAAGGCCAGAGAACAACTTGCAGGAGTTGGCTCTCTCCCCGTGTGGGTCTCGAAGACTGAATTCAGGCTGTCAGACTTGGGGGCTGGCATCTTTACTTACTATGTTGTTCTGTTGCCCTGTCTTACTTCCCTCTTCTTCCCCCTTTCTCCCCTTCCTCCTCCTTTTCTTCTTGTAGACAGAATCTAAGTTATGCAAGCTTGTGATTCTCCTGCCTCATCCTCCTGATTATCTAGGATTACAGGGATGTGTCACCATCCCATACCCAAAAGCCACGTAGACATCTCAAAATCTACACAGTCCATGTGTGAGCTGAGCCCTTCAGATCCCATCAGGCCAACTCCTGCTCGCTTCTCAGGCCAAATTTTTATTTTATTTTTATTTTATTTATTTTATTTTATTTCTTGAGACAAAGTCTTGCTATGTAGCACTGTGGCACTGGCTGGCTCAGAGTTCACTTTGAAGGTGAAGCTAGCCTCACACTTGCATTGATTCTTCTGCCACAGCCTCTCAAATACTAGGAATACAAGTGTGTGCCACCATACCTTTTTGTTTTGGTTTTGTTTGCTTTTGTACCTAATTTTGCTTTTTGAGACATGATTTTATTACATAGCTCAGACAGACTCAGAATTCAACAATATGGCCCAGGGTGGCCTCAAATCAAAACCCTTCTACCTCTATCTCTCAAGTAGCTGGATTACAGGTGAATGCCACTGTGCCTAATTACTTTTTTTTTTAGTAGTTGTGTTAATGTTATTTTTATAAAACCGTGTTTGTTTCTTATTTTCTTTCTTTTTTTTTTTTTTAAAGATTTATTTATTATTTATACAATATTCTGCCTGCATGTATGCCTACACACCAGAAGAGGGCACCAGATCTCATTATAGATGGTTGTGAGCCACCATGTGGTTGCTGGGAATTGAACTCAGGACCTTTGGAAGAACAGCCAGTGCTCCTAATCTCTGAGCCACCTCTCTAGCCCTCTTATTTTCTTTCTTAACCCAGTTATCACACAAATAGAGACTCTGTTATATAATTTTTAATAAGCTTCACAGTTATTTCTCTATTCTTAACCTTCTAAGTTAATCTGGTTTCCTCCCAGCATACCTTTCAGAGATACTTGCATTTTGTAGCACTCCAGCTCCTCTCCTGATGTCCCCTGGATCTCTCCTGTGGCTCCATCCCCTCTTTTTCCTCTAACTCCTCTTCCTCTGGCTGGCAGCAAGTCCAACTCTATTCTCTCCCCTGCTCAGCCATTGGCTGTAAGTTGTTTTATTGGCATATCAGGGGACAATTGGGGAGCAATGTTTACACAGGAGATCTCAGAACAAGGATTGCAACCAGACATGAGGGGTACAGAAACCAGCATTTGAATTACACAATTACATTATGCCTACATAGTTGTACCAGAGAATCAGAGCCTTCAGGATGTTGGGCAAATGATCTACCACTGAGTTACATTCCTAACCCTAAAACATCTCAACTTCTTTCCGGCTTCCATACTTATGTCTTGTCCATCATCTATTTCTAGTGATCATCGTAGAGATACCAGATCTGTGTACTTACTGCTGCCACCTCCCTCTGGGGAAACTGCCATTTGTTTCTCTGGGTTATTGTTTCAGTTTCTCAACTGATCCCCTTGAAGAATTTTTGTTTTTTTTTTT